TACCTATCACCGATGCTTTTCCCATCTCTTTTGCTTTTGTCGCCCACCACTGTTCACGGTCGTTAAGAAGGCTTCTTGTTAATTTGTGTTTGAGCAGCTTTCGCTCCTCATCATATTCGGAGCTCGCTGGAATCAGCCTTCTTGCGTCAATCAGTTCGGATGAGGCGGTAGATATCCAATGGTTCTTATTAACTTTTGGTTTTAGGTTATTAAGAGCCTTTACAGTTGTGTCTACAGCTAACTGTATGTTGTGCCAGGCTCCCTCAGGGGAAGTCCTGCTGTCGACCACAGATGCACAAATAGTAACAATGATTCGGTTTTTCTTTATTTCACTACTAAGTTACATGAAAAAGCCTGTAGTTTTAGGAATTCATATTACCTTCACCTGCCTCTACTTTCCTCCTTTCCTCAATATCATTGAAGTGGAAAATTTATGGTGGTTTCACTGAAGCGGAACAATAAAAGTTTTGCATTTCGCGTTCGTTGGTGCGAAAACTGTCTATATATGCTTATTCAGAAAGAAACATTATGTCTTTAGCATGTATATCTGGAGTGAGGTTTCTCAAATACTTCAGAGTTATTCCTTGTATTTCAGTGTTTATGGTACTATTATCGTTTGACTGCGAATGAATGAAGACTATTAAAGCTTATTTCTTATCAAATGTTAGCAAGACTCCTTCTTATCTTTTTATAGTTTAAGAGAAGTCTAAACGAAGACGCTGTAGTATTATCAGATATACTCGTTTGATTTCATTGAATTTGTTGCAGTTCGATTGATAGCAGACAATGAAGCAAGTGAAAGACAAAACTAATACTCATCATAAAGAAATCGGTAAATAAAAGTTATGTAATATTCAGAACAAAGATAAAGATAAGTACATGCACTATTACACCATGAAAGTTACTAATTCCTTTTCTGTCTGTCCCTGCGCTTAGCTCTTTCCATTAACTAAGATGTAAATGTTTACATGGACTTTTAAAGTCTCAGTTTGAATAAAAGGAAGCTGTATTGGTTTTAATTCCATACAAGTATAGAAAGATTATACTTTGTAAGTAATAATCGCTTAGTAGATGCAAAGTAAAGGTGTAAAATTCGTACAAGTGTTTCCCATATGATTATTGTCTTTGTTCTAACAGGTATTGTCACGTGACCGGGTCACTGAGTCTGCTTGTAACCTCTCATACCTTGTTATATAAATTACCGTTTTCAAGAGATTGTATATTTAGATAACATTCAGCTTCCTCAGTAAGGAAAAACTATTAGACGAATTCACTGCTTATGAGTCATAGGTATTACAAGAAGTACAATTATGCAATTAAAAGGTATCCAGGGTATTATTTTATTTGGTATAATTATCAGACTGCATTCGAATGACTTGGCAGCATGTAAGATAACGTCAGTTACTTGACGCCAGCTCTATTTTATTCTGCTGACCAAAGATGCTGGCGAATCTTCGGGATTTCCAGTTACATAAGAGCTGGTCAACAGTATAAGGCATACTGCTGTAAGTCATATAAGTAAACTAAGATAAAATATGTCCGAATTCTAGTTCACCAACAATCCCATGTGGGTTTGTGAATAGTTTTGCAGAATGAGAATATTAGCATTTTGTGTATAGTCAGTCACGTGCACAATTGGGTTTATCAGTTGAAAAAACCTTTGCCCCTGAAGTCTTTGTAGTGTACACATATGACATTTACTCTTACCCACCCCATTTAAAGAATATAATGAAATACTCGTTGTAAAATACCTCAATTTCTGTGCCTACTGGTGAATTCAATGTTAACTTAAAGGACATAATGTATATCTTGTTGTTTAAAATTCAAGTCTAATTAGAAGGGTGTGCCACCTAGTGGACAATTAAAAAGCACACACCCTAATCTATCTGAATTCACCTCCCACATAATAAATAGTTTCATGTCACAGTGATAATCTTTTAAAGTAGTCATTTGAAGAACTATCACTTACAAGCTCTTTTATACTCTCCAGCTAATAGTAATAATAAGTTGCTAGTAGAATTTTTGTCAAATATATGAACCGAGAGAAAGTCAAATCACCCAAGGAATTATTATCACATCCAAGACATTAAAATAGGAATTTTCTTATAACAGTGAAGTGCAAAACAGTTGAGCTTTGATTTTTCTACTGCTCAATATCAATCACTATATAAATTTAAATGTCCTAGATTATCAATGATTTGTTGTCTAGACCAAAAAGACCGTTGTCTAGCTCCTACATATAATGGCAAAACAGATACCCAGCTTGTTGCTTTTTTCTCTGGAAATTAGCATCATTCCAATGTATGGAGTTGTGGCTTGTTATTTTGAGTGTTTAAACCACTGAGGTCTAGGTTCTTAACCCCCCCACCCCACCTTCCACTTGGTCATATGCCAACAGTTGGTCCCCCATAAATATAGGTATGTAGTATAAATATGTGTAAACATCTATTGAGGTGCAATTTCATGGGAGATTTCCGCACTTAACACACACACACACACAAACAGAAATAAAATCATCACATGGATTCTTATTATGTTTTCGCCTTCATAATACCAATATTTTTGAGAAAAGAACTCACCTTTTGTGTTTTTATGTTATTGATAAGTAAAATATCCAGTGTCTTTATTCCCTTGGAAATTGATTCTTGAAGGTTGCACAGTCCAACTCGATGTAAAAATATCAATGAAAATTTGTTTGAATAGCTTGATCTTTTACATTTAAAATTCTAAAGACATTATTGTTATTCCATGGAGTATTTCTTGAAAAAGAATGTTTTTATGATAGTGAGAAAGACAAAATCATATATTTATTCTATTTCAAGTGTTTTCTCTCTTGTGTTGCTTACACCAAATTAAATCTCAACCAGGTAGCGTGTTTTTCGTCAGCCGTGAAACCACCGTCATCGATACTGTGGAATATTATCATTTCATTTTTACATTTACCAATTACATGTGAATATATACATGTTTTTAAATCCTCCCGCTTTTCATTATGTAGTGGTGGTGGTGATGATTTAGTTGAGCAGTAAATGGGTAGAGAAGGTTCAATCTGTCTTTAAAATGTAATCATGCGTCCTATAGCATTTAAGCCATTGTTGGTGTCTGCTTTTTGGAATCGTTTCACCAACTGTTTATGTGTTGCATATATTTAACATTGAATTTTTATTTTGATACGTTACCTGTTCAAATTTATTTCTGATGTATGATAGGCTCTTCTGCTTTATAATTGTTGATTGTCCAATAAAAACACTCCCTCATCCATATATATATTCTTTAAGTCTAGTGAAATATGATGAACTAGTCTTGATATTTGTCTTTAGTAATGAATCATTTTGTCAACAAAAAAAACACACAACAAAATAGAGATTTGCAGCAAATTGGGAAAAGTAAATTTTCCCATGAAAAAAAATATTTAGTAATGTAAAAGTCCCTCTGTGTGTGCGTGTGAGGGAGAGAGAGAGAGAGAGACTGGTTTTCGTTTGCATCCACATTGTTTTCCTTTTTGTGAACTGAATATACTTATTTCTGGATTTCATTGTCTCTCTCCTAGGCTATCGCATACTCTTTGTCTCTCTCTCTCTGGTCACAGTTTCTTTATTAGCCATTATCATTCATCATCACAAGTTTTTGAGTGTGCCTACCACACTATTTGCTTCCATGCTGCTGTATACACACTTGTGCTCTCCAGTTTTTTTTCTCTTTCTGATTAGTCTTGCTTGAACACGCAAACATGCTTCGTTTTGATGATTACGTTTTATCAATCTGAACAATTTAGAGCATGTGCATGTATACCCCTTTTTCCTTTTGGAAAAAAAATATTTGTAAAATGGATGACTTAGTTGATCCGTGGTTTAATGTATACTCACTCATCTGACAAGTACGACTAGAGTTACTGATGGCTTATCTATCTGAATAATTTATTTCAGGTGGTCTGATTTACTGGGTGGTTTCATTCTTCGAGTGTTTTCCAGTTATTCACAACACCCACTTGTGATTTCATGCTGTTTGCAATGAGCGACATTTATTGTGTTGGGGTCAGTGATACTACCTGGCTGTTCAAACCCCATAAGGTGAAGGGGGGGGTGGTTCAAACTTGTATTCCCCTATAATTTCTTAGTATGATCAGGGTTCGAAGTTGACATAATTCCCATATTAATTTCAAAGGATATAGGGATGAAATTATCCTGTTACTTTCACCCTGCAAGATGACTCCGTTTTGCATCTACTTAAAGAAACCAAACTAGTGATACAAGCGCTGGTGAAATTAAAAGGATAACCATCATATAACCCTAAGGATATTCTGCCTTCTATATATATCCGTTTTGAAGCTTTTTGTTATGGATTGTCTAAATCTGACTGTGTGTATCAAAAGATACCGTAGAACAATAATTCATATGGGTCGTATAACAGAGACGAAGTCTTCCATCTCAGCTACTTACAGTCAGACTTAGCCATCTACAGTTTCACAATTACTTGTCTAGGTTGGATGTGTGTATGTTTTTCATGAGATTATAAATGTAACAGTTTTATTGGTCATACTATACCAGTCATAAATCTTTTTTGACAGGATAGCGTTGTACACTTTGTTTTTGTTTTCATTATGTAGTAGTAGGGCCTTGTCTAATGGATGCTTAGTCAAGCTTCATAAGATGTCAGTTATTGTACACTCTTAAAGAAATGAGGAGATCAGAACCTTCACTTAAATTAACCAAGTGCAATCAATAAGTATAAGGAAACTTTATCTACTCTTCTTCTATTCAAGTTCATATCGGATATTAAATTATCTATAAGAGGCAAACAGCAGTGTAGAAATAACTTCTTTTAATGTTGACACTTCGTTAACCCACTTCATGATGTTGCGCGCATTTCTTAATGTTGGGCTGAGTTTTATTCAGTTTCTTTTGTTATTCTTGAGATAATGTCTAATTCAACGGATTCTATAGAGTGATATTACACTTCATCTTACCTTTTTTTCAGAATCGATAATCGGTACCAGCAACATGAGCCGACCGGATAATCGCAGACGTGGACAGAACACAAAGTCTGCTAAGGAACCAGTTTCCAAAAGATATAAACCAGATGTCTATCCATCAGAAGATGAAGACTCTACAATGTCAGGTTCTATGGATTTCGATCGTGAGTCTAATGAAAGTCTTTATGGTCGTAGGGGTGATGGTAAGATTGCAAAGAAATCTACCGCTACTACTGGCCACAGTGTACACAAACTTCACTCGGATATTGACTATGATGCCACAAATGATGGTGAAGATGATGATGACGCTGATGTTGATGAATATGAATCGGATGAATTACGTGTTGTATCAAGAGCTCAAACAGTAAAAGCCCGTCACGAACACGGCACTTCAGTTAGCAAGTCTACTGATGCATCAGTTGTGTGCACACCAAAAGATGAATTCGGAGCTAAAGATATGCGAAATATATTGAAGTTACGCATAGACCATCCCTATCGTCCCTTGTGGATTGGTCCGCATGGGCACATATTTCTTGAAGCATTTAGTCCACTAGCTCGTCAAGCTCAAGATTTTTTAATTGCTATTTCCGAACCGGTGTGTCGACCACTACATATCCATGAATATAAACTCACCTCTTATTCATTGTATGCAGCTGTTTCAGTTGGTTTGCGCACAAGTGAAATAATTGGTTGTTTGCGTCGTTTATGTAAAACTGATCTACCAGAGGGCATTGTTGCCTATATTCGTAGTTGTAGCCTATCATATGGTTAGGCCAAACTAGTTTTAAAAGGTGGCCGTTATTTTGTTGAAAGTCCACATCGTCAGTTTCTACAACAGCTAGCGAACGACAAAACTGTACAACAGTGTTTAGTTAAGACAACAATTACTGAGGAAAGCGATGATCTGAAACAACCACAACAAGAAGTAGAAGTTGTGAAACTTTACAATGCTGCATCACTAGTAATACAACACCAGCCACAAGATGATAAAGGTGTTAAAACTCAACGGGTGTGTGTGTGTGTCTGTGTGTTTATTTCCCTTAAGATAACCGTTCAACTACATGAGAATGACTGCAATACACCCTCATTGTATATTTGTCAATTTAACGGTGTTTTCCGCAACTGTTGGTTTGTGTGCTATCAAAATAATGTAAGAGCCTCGAAAAATGTTTGTGTTACTTCAGGGATATAAGAGAAAGCAAAGTGCTCTTGACTCTGTACACATGAAGAACGACGAACGAAGCGAAACAGCAATCCGATTCACAACACGACTTAATTGCTAACATCAACATCCCACTTCCAGCATAACTCTTTTCCCGACTGAAATAAGCAAAAAGAATTTCTACTCAGCTGTTTTCCAATGTTCATCCTGTTCACCTGAATATCTTAGAAGGTATTTTTCTCCCATATATTCACACTTCTAATCACTGTGAGTTAACAATATTACTTAAGATTTCATTTTAGTGAAACCGGAATCCATCTAATTAGGTTGATAATGATAATAATAACCTTCGAGGTGAGTAGAACATGATTTCCCAATATCTGCCTTCTTTTTCCACAATATTAACTAACATACAGTCGACGTACAATTACACGTTATTATTATCTTTGTTATTTGCGTTCATCTTCAACATTTCGTTGTGATTTTCACCCTTAGTAATGTATATTTCGAATAAAAACTCATCATTTCAACATATTTTCGCTGATCAGTCAATAGTTTTTGCCTGACTAGCAAGCATTAACAAAAGAACAAAAATTATATTGTAAGATGCAACCGGTGAATTTCACTGAAAGGGGGCACTTTTTACATATTCCTCGTTGTTAAATAATTATTTTCACTCTCAATATTTCATCCTTTTCACTAATGATAGTCTGACTGGGGGGAGTTATTCATATAACTAGGTTAATGGACGTCAAGCAGACTTCTAATGGCGACAATTACCCGTAAGCCAAAATAATTTTATTACTACTAGGACCTCTACTTTTGGTTTTATTTTGAAGGTAATTAGGTTAATTACTGAGTTAGTTTATTAATAATCTTCTTGGCTAACGTGTCTCTGTTCATCTAGATATTATTTGTCAGTCAAAGTATACACAAAATTATTACTTATCTGTTTATGCGAATTCTATTGATTTTGTTTAATCTAATATTAGGATTTTTGATTAATATACATTCAATGGTTTTTGCTAGAAGTAATAAACACTCACTGAAATGTTCATTCATGTTCTCTCCCTCGCTCTGAATTCCCCTCCTTCTCTCCCCATCTTTTGTTGTTTACCTGTTGTTCCGAATATTCATTCATTCATTCTCTGTATTCACTGAGTTTATTATGGTTATATATTATTATTATTATTCTGATATTTTGTTCAGCATAGTTTCATTCTACATTGTAATTCTTACTATTGTTATTGTTTTTTTTATCATCATCATTGTTGTTGTTTTATTTGTTTGTTGTTAATCTCTTCATCTCTTTCCCTCTCTCTCTCTCTCCTTACCATTCTGCCTCTTTCTGTACCTTCTTCATTCACCTCCTCCTCTCTAACTTTATTACTGATAAAAAAGGTTTTTAAAATAATAACAACAGCGGAGACAATTATAACTCTGAATAATTGTGTAAACAAATCAATAGGTTATAATGTTATTTTTATTACTGTCATAATTGTGAAAGGATGTTTACACGGATAGGAAAACACACTCGTGCATAAATAAAAAGTTTTACTAGATTTTTACCCATTAATAAAGATAATTACCATAATGGTAATTATTTCGAGAGAACTTACTAGTTGACATCATGTCAATTATACATGTATGTATATATATATTGCCCACCCAGTGAGAATAGTAATCATAATCGTTATGCATGAAATTAAATGTAGCTTAATGGTTAGAACTCATAACTTTTTTTATCAAAAAGTTAAATAATTTGAATGGTGGATTTCGCGAGGCAGTCAGAATTGCAGAGTTATGCCTTGAACACTTTTCACAAATTTACGGTGGTCAACTTTTGACTTCTTGCTGAACATTGTCTTACACAAAATGATTCATGACTTGGTATGTTGTGTATCTTATTTGACTAGGATAAGATGTAGAATAAATGCGATTGCAAAGATTTATGTATAGCACCGCATTGTCTATTTTTTCCAGTTCACCTAGATCACTTGTAGTGTTTAGTTCATTGGCTTACACTTCCGACTTACAATCAATAGGCCGTGGGTTCGAGTCCCACTCCATCTACTTCAGCCTGGGCGATGGGTAGTATCGCTAACCCTCAAAAGATAAGTTTGCCTTGTAGCTCAGTACCGAGTGAGTCGTAACTAACTGACCAACCGATTACTAGTATGTATCCTAGAGGAAAACACTTCCCTGACATATCAGAATTGTGATCAGGTTCAATGAATTAATCAAGAAAGTGTAATCTCAGACTTGATTTCAAGTATTTGAGCAGAGTAATTCCCTACGTAATTTTTACAAATGTATGTGTATGTCGTAAAACGGAATCTTAAAAATTTCAAGTTCATTCCCCTCACCTAATCTGGGAGTTGCGCTAGAATTCACTGGCCTAATTATATGCCTTTGGTATTTAATCACTGAAAAGGTTCCAGATCGAATACAAAATTATGATTGTTGTGTGATTTTGGTTAGCAGATGTTTCGAAATCAGTGCGATACAGAAATTTAGTGGTTTCATTCCGAATGCATATATATATATATATACATTTAACCCACTGTCCTTTTCGGTCTGTTTTGGTGGTTATATAAGTTTATGTTAGACTTATATCTTGGTTTCTTTTTCCCATTGGTTGTAAAATTTCGTTATTACAGTTTTATTTGTTTTGATGGCTGAATAAAGTATGTTGACTGATTTGTATGAAAAATGAAATGACGATAGTTCACATACATACGTATGCTTTCGTGTGGGAATTTCTGAACGTATTCTCATACCAAATAAGCTACTATTCATTGACACATTTTTGGGCAAACAGATTGTCCTTATTAAATAGTATGTAACTTGATGTAAAGTTATTTGGATTTCTGTAAAAATTTATTACGTTAGCTTTATTTGATTATGATAGGGCGTCTTGTTGAATATATTTCTTTATTTCTCACTTTCTTGTTTTATGCCTGGAAGAAAGGGGACTTAAAAGTCCCTCACCATCGATAGTTTTCTATTTAAGTTTTTTTACTGATGCTGTCGTGCGTCAGTGGCTGAGTGACAGAACACTGGCCAACCACGCGAGTGGTCCCGGGTTCGATCCCCGGTCGACGCACTTCTGAACCTCGCGTAGCCTTTAGTAAACGCTGTAAATAGGGAAGGTTGGGCGTGAGACTGGCAACCTCATCCGTTAAAAAGACACTGCTACCGAAACTTCGAAGCATTAGTCTGAAGCCATTTGTTCCACTGGGAACTAAAATGAATGAAAAAAAAATAATGTTGCCAATATTGTACTTTTAATTACGTACATATGGTGGTAGCCTACCTTAGCCCCTGGGCTATCAGAATTCGCGTCCATCAAAATACTTAAACTTTTCTGCATTTCTTATTGTTTTAATCGTACAACTACAGCATGTGAACGCTACGTGAACATGTGCGCGTATTTTATTGGCTTCCAACTAGACACTATGCATTTCTTGAAAGAAATGAGGAAAAACTTACAGAATTTGTTTTCTTCTCATATACAGCATCGCTGGGTCATTTGAAACACTTAATATTATTACTTCGTAAGTAAACCCTGTATTGAGAGGTAATATTTTGGAACTAAATACGCTGAAAATTCCTGTAATATATGTTCACATATTGTTTGAAATAAAGCTTTATTATTATTATATCTCCACTGATTTTTGATGTAGTTTACATATAAATTCCTAATCATTTAATCATTTTATCACACGAAACACAGATCGTGTTAACGAGTTACTTTCTTTGATATCAACGAGTTTGACATTTTAATCTTCACTCGGTTATAGCAAGCTTCAACATGTGTGGGTATTACTGTCAAAAATAATGAAATCTAGGCTATTCAAGTATTGGTTTGTAGGGATTTGATTGACTGGTTACAGGATTTCATCATGAGCTGATATCAGTTAGAGAACCATCGGAACACCTACAGGGAGTACTGGACAGCTGTTTCGCTAGACTGGTTTGGGAATCTTCAGCAGTACGTACTCACCGCCAGGGTTCAAACCCAGAACCTTCTAGTTACAAGGCGAGCTAGCTCGTAGACCATTAAGCCACTGAAACCCAACTGATCCAATGGCCAGTGCATGGATTCTGACTTCTGTCAATTCATCACATAGCGCGACCACTTCGCAATATCTCCCTCGATGACTCACTGCCTCACCTTCAACCTGTTGTATCCTAGTGGTCACGGTTTTTCACGAGAACTCCAGGTTAACTGCCTGAATAGGACCAGTTGCTAATGAGCATCAGATCAATTCTCAAGTATTGGTTTTGTAGGGATTTTGTGTGATTGGTTGGAGGATTTCAGGCCTACAAAAAGAAACGAATATTTGAGAATTGATCTGATGCTCATTAGCAACTGGTCCTATTCAGGCAGTTAACCTGGAGTTCTCGTGAAAAACCGTGACCACTAGGATACAACAGGTTGAAGGTGAGGCAGTGAGTCATCGAGGGAGATATTGCGAAGTGGTCGCGCTATGTGATGAATTGACAGAAGTCAGAATCCATGCACTGGCCATTGGATCAGTTGGGTTTCAGTGGCTTAATGGTCTACGAGCTAGCTCGCCTTGTAACTAGAAGGTTCTGGGTTTGAACCCTGGCGGTGAGTACGTACTGCTGAAGATTCCCAAACCAGTCTAGCGAAACAGCTGTCCAGTACTCCCTGTAGGTGTTCCGATGGTTCTCTAACTGATATCAGCTCATGATAAAATCCTG